GGTCTGCTTCATTCTCGAGCATCTAAACACTTCGTTTAGCTAACTTAACGTTTTGCTAGTACGCACTCTCTAGACTTGTATACCTTTAACTCCTTTTCAGTGTAATTTTCACGCGGATCTTTGTTGTTTTGACCTCTCGCATATTTGGCTTCCTGTGTTCGACTTTCGTTTGTGTGATTTTCATCCCTCTGACTTTTGATGAGTTGACTTATTGCCTTTGTTATCATGCATGTTACTTAGAGCCTTGGCTTTCATGCCTTCTGGCTTCTTGCTTATCTTATCCCATTTCATTTCTTGTTACTAATGCTTTTTACTTTTTGTCCTGGAACACAACATTATATGCTACCAGCACACACCTCACATGCCCACTTGATTCACCGGCAACAGCTCACTCAGTCTTCTACTGACGCTGAACGACTAAAGTTGTCATTGCAGTAGGGGCAAAGTGTGTCACCGTATTGCTCTTCGTCACTTGACGAAGTGACCTGCAAACGTGCTTGCAACGGTCGCGTCTTTCTTCGTCTCTTTTCTTTGCTGGGTCCTGCTCTCTTCTTTGCGTGTGTGATGGCGTATCTTGACTTCTTACATCTGTTCTAACGGGGAAGTTATCAGCGCTATACATGTGTTTATTCCTTCACTCTTCTGTTTTTTTCATCACCCTCAGTGCGGTGCCTTATTTAACGGATGTTGTGATGAGGTCGGAAAGGACAGAGACCCTCGTGGCTGGTGCATGGTACGCGTCCATCTTCACTTTCAGGACATTCTGCTTCAACGTAGACACTTTTTCTGCGTCTGATATGAACTGGGTAGAAGCTCTTTCTGAGCCGGGAGTGGCGGACTCAACGTGTCCCACCAGATCTGATCGAAGCCGATGCTAGACCGGCATCCTCATTTGGCCTCTTAAAAAGCTTTCTGCTGCAGCAAAATCTTCCTTGCCGAGGACGTCCCAGCTGCGCGGAAAGATACCCGTCCAGCAACGCGCGTTAGTGGCAGTTGCCGGAACTACGACCTGAGGACAGGCCTCCCCGAACAACTGGCCAATCTGATACACTGTTGCTTCGCGACCGGGGTCGTTCCTGAACCATTTATCAATCGCCTGTCCGTGGAAGGTGTTCAGCGGGAACGTGAAGTTCACGTCACGTGTAAAAAGGCTGCAACTTGTGCGTACCATAGCAGCACAGCAGCAAGTGGGGGTAGCACGATCGTCACACGGTTTGCCCTAGCAAGCTTGATGACGTCCAAAACCTTTGCGTGAGACATGAGGCCATCCAGCATGAGGAGACCTGGATCGTCCTCAGAAGGTTTGACATGACGTAGAAAATGCTGGAGTCACTGCTTGAAGATGTTGAATTGCATCCAGTGTGACCGGTGACAAGTGTCTCCGGTCCCAGCGTGACGGGTGGCGAGCGTGTCCGGTCCCAGTGTAACGGGTGGCGAGCGTGTCTGGTCCCAACGTGACGGGCGGCGAGTGTCTCCGGTCCCAGTGTGACGGTTGGCGAGCGTGCCCGGTCCCAGTGTGACGGATGGCGAGCGAGTCCGGTCCCAGCATGACGGGTGGCGAGCGTGTCCGGTCCCAGCATGACGGGTGGCGAGCGTGTCCGGTCCCAGTGTGACGGGTGGCGAGCGAGTCCGGTCCCAGCATGACGGGTGGCGAGCGTGTCCGGTCCCAGTGATGGTGGCGAGCGTGTCCTCCCAGCATGACGGGTTGCGAGCGTGTCCGGTCCCAGCATGACGGGTGGCGAGCGTGTCCGGTCCCAGTGTGACGGACGGCGAGCGTGTCCGGTCCCAGCGTGACGGACGGCGAGTGCCTCCGGTCCCAGTGTGACGGGCGGCAAGCGTGCCCGGTCTCAGGTGAAGTATCATCCGGGAGTTTGGGCTTCATCCGACTCCTTGGGAAGATCAGGAATGGTGGGAGTCTCCTACAGCTACATAGGCTGCGTAGGCATCCTCACAGTCGTTAAGAGGATGCTAATCCCCGCTGAGGTCAGGTACTGATACGTGTCTTGCTTTTGCATGCAAATTATTTTACTTTTTTCGGCTCTGCTTGGGCAGTGTCAAGCACGTTTAATTACATTGCATATGTGGCGAGCCGGAAAGCGCCTGTGTTCAGCTTATTCTACAGCAGGTCAAAGAGCTTCCGCACGTTCACAGGATTTCATGCCCTCGTGCAGGCCACCGACGGTCGTTTCATCAGGTACCACAAGCGCTCTTCCTTCCGGATGTCCCCTCCGGGTGTCGTCGCCGAAGTCCGGCCAACCAGTCCTTACCAGCAAGATCGCTTCATTAAGGTGATGAGTTCTGGATGTCTCTGTCATGTGGGAGGCCATGCAATCGGTCCGTCTTTGGTCCGCTAACCCGAAAAACTTACTTTGCATCGGCAGGATGAATACGAGCCCCTTCTCCGGAGCTGGGCTTGACAGAAGCGGTCCTGGGTCCTAAAAGCTTCTCTTGCCCTTGATGCAATGAGAACCCCTTGTTCTGACTTTGAATCGTTCGTTTCACAGTTTGCTTTAAGAGCGCTGAATTGTTTGGGCAGTTTTCAGGGAGCCGATTTATTTGGAGAGGCCTCTTCAGTTGTCAACGACCATTTTTTTCCTCAGCCAGACTTCCACGACCAATCTTGCGTTGATGCTTCAGCAGTAGTGTTGTGGATACGGAACGTTAATTGACTGAGAGTACTTTAAGCGTGTCACGGCGTTGGGGCTATGCTTTGGTTTTCGGTGGGGATAAATCGGATTACAACAGGTTGAGATGTTGTCCACCAGTTTTCCGTTTCAATCATTACACGGGCGATTTCGGAACATGACTGGGATGCCAAATCGTCTCATTCGTCGAATATTGCATCACCGTTACTGGTGGCCCCATCATCGCTCTTCACAGTGGAATACACATTAATTACAACATGAATGGTGGCGTATCCGCAAATCACGATCGCTAGACCTTTAACTAGACTTTGTCACTTCTTTAAAAGCTACAATTGTCCCAGCTAATAACCAAAGTCCCGTACTCAGCGTGCTTACTTGGCCAAACCGCGTGCCACTAATGCAAACGACAAATGTGGTTACTATGATTGGCGGGAGGTGGCAGCACTGGCTTGGGAGAGAAAGCGAGGGCCCGCTTTAAAACCTTTCTAGAGGAACCGTGGCCTTACCCATTGGATACGAACTCCACTTTCCCCTACACGAGGAGACTGAAGCCTCGCTCTTTACGGGGAAACAGCCTGAAGCATATGTGCGGCTTAGACAAACGCCTCGTGACTTGCTGAGCCCTGAGCAAGAACAAAAGGGCGGCGATGGACACTGAAAGGGTATTTTTCCATACTGCAGGTGACATTCCACCATCCGCGCTTTGAGGAGACCAGGTGGATACGTCCTCTGACAAGCGCGAATATCATCAAAAGGGATTTTACCACGGAAGTTTCTTGTGTAGGCCGCTATCTCCCGCAAAAGGGCATCCCGGTCACTAAGATGTCAGAGCGCGCTGAATATGACGAGGCCATGAACCGCCAAAAGTACAAGCGGGATGCACTGCACTGTCGGCAATATAACCATGTGGTGGGCATGGGCGTTTTGGGCGCGGACCTGACAGCCGCACATTATGTAGGTGGGAAGCTCACACCGCTGGATCCAATCCCACACACGGCAAGTGTAGGCCAATCCTCAATGTTCAACGTCAAGTCCAACGTCAGCGTTCAATGCAAGGTTCAATGAAAGTGTTCAACGCAGGGTCACCTGAGGGTTCAATGTAGGTTCAACGCAAGTTCACCTCAGGGTGTTCAACGTAAGGGTTCAACGCAAGTTCGACGCATCGGGTTCGACGACGAAGTGCATAACGTAAGGGTTCAACTCAAGTTCAACGTAGTGTTCAACTGCAGTACCTGAATGCAATTCTTCCACGCGAATATTTGCCTCGTAAATGTCGACTAAGTTGGCCTTAATTGTGCAAGGAATAACAACTCGGGCATGCAAGGGGGGTCGGACACGAGAGTCGGAACCTCTAGGATTACGCATCACTTTGTCTACGGTTCCGCACCGGTTCCGCCAAGTCGTCCACAGCGACATTACATGTTGTTCACATTTTTTTTGATGTCCTGAAAACTGCACGGACTGGCATCGAAATATGTACATAGTTATCAAATATCCTACCTGTTTTGATCGATTACCAGCTGTTATTCACACTATCTTATTTACTATTTTCCACGCCCCTGTCAGTAGCGCACGGCACACGGATTTAGGGGAAGAAACGGTCATAAGTCAGCACAGAGCTGTGCCTTTTTGCCAGCTGTGCCAAGCACGATTACGGTTAGCAAAATCAAGCTGAGTTGGGCACTCCAGCAGTAACGCTACGTGCACGCGCCAATTACTAGACGGCTGAAGCCGCACGACAATCCCTCTCATCTTCACGCTCGACCGGTTAGCACCAATGTGAACACACATCGGCTACGTGCTTACTGGTCGGACACCGTCTTTCCTCGAATATACTGGAAACACCGACGCTGCTAGCATCAAAATCGTTCATGGTACAACGGAATAACATTTGTATTTCGTCAGTATGATATTCGCTGGTAAGAAAGCGACGCACACTCACAGGGTTGAGACGCACAACGTTAAGACGAAGCAATCACTGGCACGCTCCGGGATACTTACCACCAGCTGTGGGAGAGCACATTCGAAAGCTCGAGCACGAACACCGTAGCCCGCCATCGCTTCAACGCTAACCCTCAGTTCACAGGTATTACAGTTCACATATATTTGTTTGCCTAATGCTACATAAATCACTATGGCAAATAGTACCACATTGAGTATTAACCATCCAATGCAAAATCACCCCGCAAAAATATCACGACTTGCAGACCGTTCCAATTGGGTAACAGCTAATCGGTGCATTACAGAGCACACTCTGCAGCAGACAGTGCCGCAGAATGTCTGAAAAACAGACCGTGTGCGTGCGCACACGGCTCCCGGAGGGGGGGGGGGGGGGCAAGCGCACTCTGCCTTCAG